TCTCTGCATTAATCCCTCTGGTAAGTTGCCATACTATAACTGATGACCCACTTAATTGTAAATTATTCATGACTCATATTTGGGTGTCAATACTTGATGCAGGATCGAATCTTCGATCTAATTAAGCCTTTCAGGAATCTAAAGTCATCGTGGCAAGTCAGAGTTGAAGCAAGCAGAGCTCTTCTGGATCTTGAGTTCCAGTACAAAGGCGTTAATGCAGCACTGTCACTGTTTATTGAATTTTTAGAGGAAGAACCATCCTTAAGAGGTTGTAATATTATCAAATCGATGGACTATACAAATCGCGTGGTATTTTTATGTGACATTTTTTATTTTCCTTTCCTTTAATCCTTGGTTGCAGGTCAGACCAAATTAGGCATGCACGCTATGCGGTTGTGTCAGACGAGGGGGGCAACTGATTCAGCTGATGACATTCAAAGCACAACGCTTGTGGCTTTGCTCCGTATGCTTGAAGGCCGTATGGCTTTTAACAATGTCTTTCTTCGTCACTACTTGTTCTGCATTTTACAAATCTTTGCAGGAAGGTAAGATCGCTACCTCTACTTAAAACGGGTTTTAAGATGATTGCAATACCACCTGTGCTTCACAACTAATTTTTGGCAAGGGATAATCTGTTGAATGGGCATGAAATGCTGCATGTAGTTAGTTGTGGAATTGCAGTGACTGCAGAAAAGTTGCTTTCAAGTACTCGTGCTATGTGTCGATTTAGAATGAAAAGAGAAGTTCTCTTTTGATTGGTCAGATTGATAAACTTTTGTCATTTTTTTGTGGTTGTGATATTTTGCTTCTTATTTTAGACGGGATTGTAATTCTGTTTTTTTTTTAAGACTCCCAACACTTTATGGAGTCCCCAGGGATAAAACATTTCATACAGGTGATCCTGAGGCTTGTAGCGAACAAGAGAATATTGTTCCGAGTTTTGCCGCTGAAGCAAAGCCTCCAGAAACTCCTGTCAACATCACCAACCAGTCACCTGAAGATGTGGCCATCATAGAAGTTCCGAAGGAGGCAGATACTGTTTCAAGTAGTCATGAACTGAAGAAACCAGTTGTTAAGATCAAAGTCAAACACTCGACTGCCACCAGTAAAGGAGATGAAACGGGAAATCAGTCTGCTGCCGAAAAATCTCAGGGCAGGAATAACGGACCAGATCGTGCAGCTAGCAGTTCGGTGTCAGTGGATGCACCTCAAAGGAATTTCACTGAAGCTGTTAGCATTAGCAATCATAATCTTGAAGAGGTCAATTCATGTCAAAATCCTGGTTCCCGTGTGACTGCCAGCATTGGCAGCGCTAAGCTGGCTAATGAGGGCGATGATCTGGGGAAGGAACTCCAATGCACTGCTGATTCGGGTAACGTGACGGTGCACCCTCTGCTCCCTGGAGATACTGATCTAAGTGCTGATGCACTCAAGTATGCGAGTCTCCAAAGTCTTTCAGCAGCTACAGTAAATGATAGTTCGTTTGCTTTAGGCGACTCTCCTCATAGGAAAGAAAAGAAGGCGAAGAGCGACAAGGACAAGAAACGGAGGCGAGAGGACAGTAAAGGACACAAGGAAGACTCGGAGTACTCGGAGCGTAAGCGCTTGAAGAAGGAGAAAAAACGGAAAGAGAAGGAACTGGCCAAGCTTTTGAATAATGAGCCTTCAAAGACTTCAATGGAGTTGCCAAGTAGAAGCAAAGACCCCGGAGTCAAGGAACCTGATTTCAAATCGGTGACTGTGCAAGCAAAAACAAACGAGGTGGGCAGCTCCAACATGTTAGTTACGAAGGTCGAGGCCAGGGCCGAGACATCAGAGGCCAGCACTGCTCCAAGATTTCGAATTAAAATAAAGAACAGACCGCTAAACAGATGATACGAGGTTTTTCCCCTTTCATTCTCAATGAGCTACGATAGCATTACATAATTGAACACATTTTAGACCAATCGTGTCTGGCGGCGTGTAGAATATTAAACGTTCGAAGCTGTTGCTTAGATGGATCCAGTCAGTCTCGGCACATCTTCTTGGCTTTTCAGCTGAGCTTTTCAGGCGAGTTCCTGCGGAGTTGCTTCCTTCGTGAGTGATCAATAAGTGGAGAAATGGTTACGTCACAGCACCTGCACCTGCACATGCACATGCAGTTCTTCAGTCGTCCTAGTTCGTAAGGTCATGGTCATTCTGAATCATACCCGGATATGTTCATTGAGGGCCCAATAGGCAATCTTTTGAGAATTTTGGTCACAAGCTCAAGGAGCACCATGAATTGAGTCGAGTCGAATTCTCTTAATGGATTCTGCAACCCTGGTGACAATTCAAGCATGACGTGCGCTTGTTGGCTCCTGAATGTCGACGTGAATCGGCACAATTCCTGAATCTCGATGCGAATCGGCACAGTTTTATCACGGTATCTGCAATGTGTAACATAGTTTATATGTTCATGCCGCTTAGATATTTTACGTGAGATGACACGAATCACCCACACAAGCACGTCACTGCTAACATGCCGATGCGCCGTACCCTTAAAACGGAGAGATCGTGGATGATTCACGATTCGAATTTTCGGATCCCAACATCTAAATCCTTTGCTTCTGGATATGGAAAGTCGGGGGGGCCAAAGGGTATCTCTTAATGCTCGAGACTGTTTGGCAGTCATCTTTTTCGCTGTTTTGTACAAAGATCTCCTCCCCTCTCGAGTGTGCACACGTTCTTCCCGCTCGACTCAAATCTCTAGGGAGGGAGGCAGAGTCAAAAAGTGCGGCTACTTTTCTCCAGGGATTTGTCAGGTCATTTTATGAGCCCTTCATTTTCTCCCTTAAATTTGTTTTGCCTAGAGGTAGGTTCTTTGTGCTGTCGGATTCGAAATTACCTAGGATCCATCATGAATCATCGCTTCAGCATTTCCTCCTCTCCTTTTTTTTATACTATTTTTGACAGATCATGATACACGGAAAGTGCTTTCGGAAAGCTATTTCTATTTGCTAGTTATTTCCCCGTGGCAGATCTTTCGACACATCTCAAAGATTAGTGCAGATAAAAATTGGAGCAATTTCAGAAACATGGCCATTAAAATTAGCGGAATGATTTCTAATGCAGCGTGTCATCGTATATCTTTTGGATCATGTGTATCTGAGCAAGGATAACATGCATGGTCTCGGGTCAAGTAGAATGTGATGTAGGTATTTACTAAGTAGTGGTGAGGGGTAAGGACTTAAATTTTGATGTATGCATGTATAAATAAGTAATTGCAATCATTGTACGGACCTTTTCTATTTGACTAAACGGATCATTTTTCGAGAACTTGTGAGATGTGTTGTTAGAAAAGTAAAACTTTTTCTAACAGAGTTTTGCGATTTGATCGATTCTATTTATCATATAAGCCATTCTCGATCTCGTACTTGGACCCGGCAACGTCGATCACGAAACAGAGAGGCTCAATCAGTTGGACCAATCGACATGCCGTAACTATCCAACGTTTTTTGGGTTTTTGCGACATCCTTAGTGCGAATGCTCACAGAAAGACTTCGTGTCTTGTTCTTTTTGGCCAACACAAGCAAACTCTTGTAAAAAGCTATGAAACCCTAGAAGATTGATGAGGCCACAGCTGTTTGGCTCGATCAATTCACCATTGTACTTCAACATCTTCTTCTCTGGAATATGGCTCGCTTATGATATACTGAATTTTCTGGGAAGTTTTATCAAACCTAACACCGCTCAGAACCGCTCTCCTTCAGCTTTCTTCTCTAGTCAACATGTTCATGGTGTAACAGTCACTCTTACTGCCTAACCCTAGTACATCTGCGCTTGGGGATAGTTGTGCACTTACGTTATCCTTTATGATCTGAATCTTAAAGCTAAATCAATTAAATCTGATTCTAGAATTCTTAGTTCATCTTGATATATAAAGACTCGATAATACTTCATTATTTTCCCTGGAGCAATGGTTCTAACTTAAGCGAAGAGATAATTGAGATATTATTCTTCACGTGTTCTTGAAAGTGTTAGGTGATATACTTGTAACACAGGGCTATTGATATGTGTTGGCTATAAAAAAATTAGATGGAGGGAGACCCTTTTTTAACAATTCAATGACTGAAAAAGCAAATATCGTTAAGCGTAGTATCTTCACATATATCTAGTTTTCCTTTCCTCTATCGCTCTCATCAAGATAAATCATCTTTATGATGAGAAGATGTTTTGGATAGCAGTTATACTACGTGGCATAGATACGTAAGCAAGGCAATCAAAACTGAGATTTTTTCAAAAGTCTATCCGTAAAGTTGGATGGGATGCATAATGGACATTATAAATAGGTTAATCACACTACATCAGTCATGCAATAGATGCCTTAAGTGCATGCATCCTCACAGCTATATCATGCATTTTTTTCTCTAAATGAGCATGCATCTTCAAATACTGCAAATTTTCCTTCAGCTGTCAGTCTCTGAGTAGTTATTGACATCTTATTTTAAAATTCTATAGATGAAAATTAAGGAGTGCCCATAAAAGATACAGTCATCACACTTGTGTAGTCATCTCTCTAATGAACAATACACGGGCTTGATTTATAAAAATGCAAAACAAGTAGTGAAACTTTAAGCAATGAATTATGATGTTGACAATCTTAAATGCCATTAACAAAAATATCTTAGGTACATGAAAATGGACATTGAAATCTGCTTGATAATACTAGAAAATTGAATAGCGGATATAATAGTTACTTATACTACATAAAATGGGAATGTTATCCAGGGTTTTAACAACATAACTGATGATGTTCTAATTTCTACTATGTTTATAGACATTGAATGAATTAAGTAACTCGTCCCTTACATAATACTTTAATGTTATCAAATATGCTCAATCTTCTTCAGTGCTCAAAGTTGTGATTTTCGACAGTCAATTGAGTCATTAAACAGGATTGTAGTTAATGCCTTCCTAAAATTCAGATGATGCATGTTGACGATGTCTACTAGGATGACGCAGAGGAAAACAAGCATCAAGGTCCACAAGCTTGGAAATAGCATAGAAATTGAGTTTTCTTGAAGCAGCTTAACAGAATGTAATCTATCTTCTTCCCATCATCCCTTCTAAAACATCACCATATCTACGACTAGAAAGACAATTTACCACAAAATCACGCAAGTTTGGTCTCTTTACAGTTACAGCAACATTCCAAATAAATCCAGACAGAAACGGATGCAATATATTGGTTGGGGTAGGCTGAACCCTGAAAAAATTTCCCCTTCTGGACATGGAGAGAAGTGCTTGGAAATTGTCCAATTTAGCGCATATATTGGTCGGTGTAGGCTTCCCATGGCTTGCAAAACAATTCAAATTCAGTGAACTGATGCTGCAAAAGTTCATGCATTGGTCAGGTGATGACTTCATAGGAATTTGGCAATTTATAGCTGCTTGATGCTTTTCATTACTTAAGAAACATAGAACAAGACAAATAACTAGCCACTCTATTTGAATGCTTCAAATTGTTGGTTGACAATTGTATTTATCAAGGGGGAAAATATTGAAGCCGGCACTGACCTCTACTCGGTTGCTTTGAGGATGGTTGAAGTTGTGAATTTCAGATGAATTATCGGCCATTGTCTCATTTGTTTCAGAACAATGCCTCTTCCGATCATAAGAACTTTCTCCTTCAAATTGAACTTGCACATTCATATTAGTAACTTCGACGCCGCTCCCTCGATTTCCAGAGTCTTCGCTAGTTCCAATGGAACAATTGGATGGTAGTCGGTCGTTCACATCATTCTCTGTCAATTCGTCGCAAGGTCGATTCCCTCCATTGAGTCTTTGGAGCTTCATCTTCTCCCTTGTTCTTTGCTTTGCTCTTTCCCTCGCCTTTGCCCTTGACTCTCTTGCCGTAGGGCAAAACACAGACTTTCGAGATTGTTTGATCTTTCTCTTTTTTTCAATTGTCTCCTTTTGATTATCCTTAGCGATTTTGCCTATTTCAGGCATCACTTCACGGTCCGATGTGGAACGAACACTCGCAATAGGGATGCTTTCGCCGTTGTTCGTCTTCTTAAGGCCTCCAACTAATTCTTCAATGGCAGTTGTCGACTTCACTAGCAACCACTTGATAGTTTTGCTAGCCTTGTCGACGCCGAGCATGTCTTGAAGATTGAAGAATTCGTGAGCGACTTCACGGGACAACCTCATCCTCCGGTCTCTCATGCCTCGGGCGGTGTTAATCTTGCTGTGCCGATCTTTCTTTGAGGACCTCTCTCTCGGAACAACCCGCTTAGCAGTCGCTTCGGGTTTTACTCCGGTGCTGTATCCGATCGAATCACCAGCGAAAACGGTCATGGGATCGGTCATTTGGAGAAGAGTGTTCACTGGTTGCTGCCCTTGTAACAAGAGATTGTGGTGAATTTGAAGAAAAGTACCATCCTCGTTTTCATCATCGTTGAAGATGGAAGGAGGGGGGAAGCTGTAGAGACAGAAAGGAGGGTCTTCTTGTTTGAAATCAAAGCTAATGTCAGGGAAGATGGGATGCTGAAGAATTGGTTGTTCACCTAAGGATATGAGGTCATTGGTACTGTCGTTTGAGAGAAACATTGCGCAGAATCAATTATGACTGCTGCCAATACAAAGGGCTAGAAGGATTAGGTTAGAGATTGAAGTTGACACAAGTGTGACATTGATTGAGAAGCTTGATCTCTTTCCAAATTCAAGTCACTGCAAGCAAAAAAGATACAGCCAAAGAGTTGAGAAGGAGATACAGTGAGATGTATATGTTATAAAACAGAAGATCTTGATAAGGAACTACAGACATACTTTATTAGGTACGAGTACTGGAATTTTGTCTGAGGGAGTGTATGAGAAGGAGATTTTTAAGTACAAATGGACATATGTGTTTGCAGAGGAAGGGAAAGACAACTTCGATTTTATAGTATTTTTTAACATTAGGTTTTGTTTTTTCCCTTAATAGCAGAAAGTGGGCTCGTGGTGACTAGATCAAGAGAAAGGCTCCAAGAGGCTTTCAAACATCATCAGTCACATAAGAGAATGTATTGACCTAATGGGGGCTTAGTTCATGATAAATCAAATCAAGAAACAAGCAAGAAAAGGGAAAACTCTTGGGACCGCCACTATCTGTGGTCATGCTCCTGATTCAACAACAAATAGGGCATGTGTAAATGTCCAATCTGTTTATGTTTGTATGAGTGTGGGACACAAGAGAGAGGTTTTTCTTTAGATAAGCACAGAGGGAGAGAGAGAAGAGAGAGAGAGAAGGGGACTCATAGTCAAAGTGGACTGTCCTTGCCTAGGGTTGGACACAATCACGCGCAGAGAAAGACAACATGCATGTTCATGAATCTTCCCCCAAAGAGTCGCTCCTTGTCACATGATGACATAGCGCATCTGACATATCATCCTCCTTTTCTCTCTCCATCACACACACACACACACACACACAATACTAGTCAAGTCCTCGTAACTAAATTCTACTCGAGCTCTTTTATTCCAGTCTTTTGATGTACATTGCTTGTACCGTTGATTAATACAATTGACTGTAACATTTTCTCACAATCTATTTTCAATCATTCATTCTTTCAAACGATCCTACAAAATGTGCCCGCCTTCATTATTATCAGGGTGTTGCACGTTTAAATTGGTTGGTGTGTACTAATCGTGAGTCTCGTGATCGAGGATAGTACATGCTAGCACGGTCCTTTGAAGTAGCCAATGGTCCAAATGTGACATTTAATAGCTCTCTCTCACACAAGCAATGCTATTGCATTGATTTTGTTGGTTGAGTGTAGTCTTCTATGTTCTAATGATTTGCTTGTGCTATATGTGCTCACAAAGATATTATGTGATTAGATAGGATGAAATGCAAATATTCATTAACTTGTAGACATGTGATGAAGATGTATATAATCCATGACAGGGGAATAATTAAGAAACCTTACCACAACTAAAAGGATCGTTAGTTGGCTTACTAACAGTTTCTTTTGTCCAAGATAAAAGGAGGAGATGGATTATTAGCGTGACTACTCTTTGAATGTACCATAAGGTTTATACTCATTATGGAATGTTTGGATCTAAGATTGTAGAGGGGAAAATTGTAAAAAAAAACCTATTACACGTTTGTCAATTCAGTCATCAATTTTTTAAATTGTGCCAATTAAGTCATAAACTTTTCACATTTTGCCAATTGAGTCCATCTGGCCAATTTTTTCGCTGCCTTGAATGCCGGCTGTCCCACATGACATACCTACCGACATGGATAATATTTTAATTTTTTTATTTCTTTGTTCATTTTGTTCTTTTCTTCTCTTTTCCTTCTTTTCTATATTTTTTATTGTGGCTAGCAAGGGTCGCCGGCTATCGTCGGGACTCGTTGATGGCTGGCGGAGGTCACCGGCCTTAGCCAACACTAGGCCCGACGATGGCTGGCAAAGGGAAAAAGGGGAAAAAGAAAAAAAAGGAAAGGCAAAGGAAAGGAAAAAAAAAAGAGTAAAGAAGGAAAAGAGAAGAAAAGAAAAAAAGAAAAAAAGAAAAAAATTAAAACATTGTTAAAAATTATCTACGTTAACACTGACCATGTCACGTAGGATGGCCGGCGTCCACATTAGCAATTTCCGACCAAAATTGACCGGATGGACCCAATTGGCAAAACGTGAAAATGTTTATGACTAAATTAGAAAAAGTGCAATATGTTTACGACGTTTTTAGACAATTTCCCGATTGCAAAAAGATCGTCATTTAACATCACTTGCGACCGTTGGTTCGAGGTAGGCAAGCCCCGTTATCTCCAGCATGCTGGAGGTCTTCTACCCATCCACCGAGACAGGATATATGCACCACTACCACAAGAAGGTTCGAACTCGTTTTAAAATACCATCTGTCGAATATCTAAATTCGATCCTATCAACGATGCAAGAAAGTAATGGAAATTCACACAACACAAAAATTTACGTGGTTCAGCAGGGGAGATGTTCCGCCTACCTACGTCCACGGGGAGAAGAGATCCGTTTCACTAATATCGTAGAAAAGTGTACAGCCACTCTTTCTCACCCCCTGCCTCTATTATAGAGACCCATTTCGCCCTAAATATATATAGCGAAACCCTACATGGCACAAATTACAAAATTACCCACATAGCCTAAAATATTTAGCTTTCCCATATAAATCATTCTATGACTGAACATAAAACGCCTCTGGCGGCCCGGGGGCGCTGGCCCCGCGACCCCCGCCAGGGCGGCCCCCCGAACCCCCGCCCGCTCACCGGGGAGCGAGACCCCCGTGCTGTCCAGTGGTCAGAGGGGCCTTTCGGAACCGCCTCATAATCTCTTGGATAACAAAATACAAGACATCAACCTCAATACCATCCTCGTACCGTTAGGCCACCGTCGCGAATGGTTTGGCTTACTTCACTTGCTAGTAAGTTGACTTGCGCATTTCGAAAAGAATGTATGGAACTTATAGTTTTAAGATTTGACATAGATCTTATTGTTTAAAGAATCTTAATCTATGTATGAATCTAGATGATATATTTATTCTGTGATAGCCTTTAGATTTGGTACTTGGGATCCAGCCCATCATTGTACAAACCTCCGATTCTTTTTCTCGTGTTTGGTGAAAAGCTTTTCCAAAGTGGAATGACTTGTTCCCTTTGTTGAACGAATGCTAATTACATCACTCAAATGAAGCAAATGAAGTTTCATGTCCAATTTCGGTTTCTCTGTCATATGTATTGTTTAAGGACATATTTGACGTTTGATTTAGAACTTTGGAACTTCTATGCATTATTTCCTTATGACAAGACAACCAAAATATTGACACTTCTATGCGTGTGTCTCTCTCTTTCCACGGGATCGAAAAAATCCTTTAAGACCTGACCGATGACCTAATGCCATGAACACGAGCCCTCCTCAAATTTGGTCTTTGCATCATTCTATTCGAATGATCAACATACTCCTTCAGTTGCAGTTGCAGTTGCAAACTGTATTCCATTCATCACTTCCCATGCCCCTTTGCCTCTGTGTTTTGCTCTCTTTCCATTTAATACATGCCGCCATCTCTCTCTCTCTCTCTCTCGTCAGAGGGACATCACTACAAGGACCACAGATAATGCTAGACACCGCGGTTCTCTCTCACAGGTTGCTTTCAAACAGGAGATGATAACAACAAATAATAGACAAGGGTGAATTGAATTTGGCTTGTCATTTTGTAGTGATGTGTGATGATGATAATGAGAGAGTAAACCCCCTTCCCACGCTACCTTCACTTTATTTTCTTTTCTGTTTAGTGCTTTCATTTCAACTTCGTGTGAAGCATCTCTGCATTTTTACCAACAAACACCCATTCAGCTGCGGCCCGCAAGGATATGTTTGGGGTCTCAATCTTGTTTGGGGCTTCTGCAGTTCATCTTTATACAAAGAAAGGACATTATTGCACGGACACCTTTCTAAAGTGTGGGTCTTGGATCTTCAGTGTGAGGGGATGAACCGTTTTCCAAATATAGTATGGCTTTGGGCGTCTTGCATGCACTCACTTCTAAGCAGTAAGCTATATATAGTTTGTCCACATATGCTTGTTCTTATCTTCTTTTCTGCGAGCTCTTGCAATTTGAACAGTATTAAGTACTTTTCCTTATCTAATGTTGATGTCTATGATCTAGTCATTCAATGAAAATAATTCCATAAGTATATTTGAACTGTACACATGGCCGGATCTCCATTATTCCAACGGGATCATATTACATTGATTTGCAATTTCTTTCACGCGTTCTCTAATCAAGCTTTTCAAGCAAGTCGGCCGCGGATGAAAACAAATGTGTGTATGATTTCCCGGCAATCTACATGTCTTGAGGAGAGAAGTCGCAATGTGACAATGGGGACTCAAGAGGGATTAGGGTTTATCGGCTGCCACTAAAGCTAAGCCTCACGAAGTTTCTGGCCCTAATGAAAACCAGCCACAGACCACATTATTTGGCCAAGTTAGGCACAGTACTCTAGCTGGGTTCAATGTGACAAAAAAGTGCAGCATATATATATATATGTATGTATGTATGTATGTGTCTGGAGAGAGTTGATTCGTTGTCCTACGTTGTTGATCTACTATTTGAAGATGGTCGGATGGGAAAGGAAATGGCCCACGTGAAGAAAAGTTCGCTCTTTTATCCAATCTCCTTGGTTAAGGGGAACGCACAAGTTGTTCTCTCTCCATGTTTTGTGATTTCATTAGATTGCTCTTGAAGTTGTTCCTTTTTTAATCATTGGGATTGGATACCTAGGAATTAACCATTGATTCTTTTTTTTTTTTTACGTAAATGAGATATGATAATTAGATTGCAAAGCAGAGTGCATTTACACGTCAGTTCGCATGAACAATTGAATAAAAAACGAAAATATCACAATGCGGCTGTTTTTATGTTTTCGTTTTCAGAACTTCAGTGATTTGAGAGTTTTCTCATCAAAAACTCATTGAAAGAAGTCATTTCTCAAAATCTCTCCTTTGATTCAAAGTCATGGGGATATCTTAGTACCGAGCTTAGTCAAAGAGGTTAGAGAGGGGCTGACAAAAGAAGGACGGTGAGGAAAGTTCTCTAACTTGGGAAAACCCTTCCGTATGTGAGATTTTCATCTCATATGGCTCCTCGAGGGCGCCTAGAAATCAACAATACAAAAACTTTGTTTTGTTGTAACGGCTCTTCCAGAATTTCGTGCGAGAGAGAGAGAGAGTTTTTTCTAGGCTAAGTCGGCATGCGGTGAATTATAAGGACATTGTGAGTACTCTTCACATGTTCAGTGTTAATAACCCTAATAAGGTTATGCAAACCATGAGAATCGCTTGACGATACGCCATCCAACTCCGACCTATATTTCTCAATCATCGTTTTGCTCAAGAGAGCAATGTCCCCCATTTCTCAACCTTAG